GTTACATCATTCTATTAAATAATAATACAAAAGCATAATTGAACCGTGGAATAAATCAGTTATTGACCACGAAGCGGGCATAACTAAAAATTTGACTCAGATCTGATAATTGGTTGATGGCGGAATGGCGCAGCCATTCCGCCATCAACCAATTATCAGATCTGAGTCAAATTTTTAGTTATTGCCCGCTTCGCGGTCAATAACTAATACTTATCATTATAGTTATATAATAAATATAAGAAAATTTTTTTTGACTCAAACTCTACTTCCAAACAGTCTGCATTTTTTCCCCACCCATCCCGCCACAAAACTTTTTTTTTGATACAAAGATTTCTGAAAATCATCCCAGAAAATAATAAAATTAGCTTGACCACTTACTAAAACCATCAACGAAATTCTATAGATCTGACCTTATAACACAGTTCAAAAACTTCATAATGTACATTGAATCTTTTCCCTCATACAAAAATTGACCTCAAATAGAAAAGATATTTGGGAATTAGAAAACATCACATCACGCAAAGCCAAAACGCCCAAAACTATTTGACAATTTTTTGCTTGAAGGAATCAAAACTATGTTTAATAATAGAATATTCTTTATCTGGCATTGATGGTAAAGGTAGACTTGACTTTACCATTAAACAAGGTAAAAGATTTATTGTGTAATAGAGGCAAAAGCACTCAATGTTGAGAGCACGGATTTTGTTCAAATTCAAAGTGCTTGTGAGGTAAGATATATAATAAAAATTTGCCAATATAAGGTACACATTATTTTGAAACTAACTATGCTTTTAAATATAATATAGAAAAAAAGGCGAATAAAATTTTTTGGAGAACAAGCTAATTCTTCTATTAAGTGTGATTTAACAAAACTAAAATCAATTCTTGTAAATTATATAGAGAAATGAGATGTTGCTTAAATTATAGAATTTTACAGACCAATTATTGATATCGACGATTATTAAAACTGAAGTGAAAAATACTGTGATAATAGAATATGATAATGATTCCATGGGCATTATTTTGCACAAATACTGTAGTAATTCTCTATCAATTTTTATTATTAATACTTATACCCTTCAACCACGATTTACCCTTAATATTTTTAATCTTAACAAAAATTATATTAAAATAGATCCAAAATGGCAAAAAATTGCTGATTTACTCACAAGGTTTCCAAAATCAAGTTTCTAAAATTGCTGATACTGAAGCTACATTATGTTCGCCACTATTTACTTGAAAAGAAAATTTGATAAAATCACTCAAACAAAACAATCCTCGGTAAAAATTCCAAAGAGATAATTTATCTAGTAAATTTTTTCTCCTACTTTAGATTATAGAAGATCTTATAAAACCTTTACCTAGGGTGTTCTCAAGCATCAACCTAGATGCGATTTCATAGTGATCGAAATAGTGCACAAGTATTATGACATAATTTTAGCTATTGCCATAACATTTTGAATAAAAGTCAATAATACGAATGATGTTATTATTTAGAAATGCTCAAACAATAATATTCTTGTGATTTTCTAATAATTGTAGTGATGTTCAACTTCAACAATAGATCAAATAAAATCAAATCACTGCTTGAGAGGATTTTAAAAAGTTTATCGAAAATTTTATGAAAATTCATAATAAAAGTATGAAAACACTTGAGCGATACTTTATTCAATTTAATTTTTGTAAATTTTGATAGGTCAGCGCAAAAAAAAGTTGACTGAAATGAGAAACACACTGATCATTTTTTACTTTTAGAATTTTTTCTTTCATGTAATAAACTACCTTACTTATCTTAATGATAAGCTCAATTGATCGGTTAAAAATACTTTCCGTTGTTAATATTAATTAAAATTTAATTCCCGACATATTTTCGACATACTTTGGCCCATTAATTGAGGCGTCTGAGAACGCCCCTACTCTGTAGAAAATCATGTTCTTAAAATTGAAGGCGTAAATTCTATATTAATTATTGAACGACTATAGATTCGATTGTAATACTAGTGGAAATTAATTATAAATTAAATCGACCGTAAAATTATATGAACGACTGTTAGATTTCGTAAGAATTTATATCTTCACGAATATCAATATAGAAAAACCTTAAACATCCTACAATTTTCAAAAATTTCAAAAACTTAAAAATTTAATAAAGCATAAAATATTATTTATTCAAATCTAATGATATGATTAAGTAAAATTTTGGGTGAGTCACAGATTTGTCAAAGAAAGGTAAATTGCTTATGATACTTGCAATGGAAATGGAAGAGAAAAGAATGCTATTCAGGTAACCAATAAAAGTAGTCATACATGATAAAGTAATCAAGGCATAAGAACAAATATTAATTAAAGGATGAATAAAGCGAGATTTTACAACAACGCTTGAGTTTGTGTGAGACCATCAAAGAAAATCAACCAGACGTTTCTTAAGAGAACAATCATACGCAAGTTGAACAAGTAGCCCATTTTGTTCATAGCAGGACCGATAAGTAAATCAAAATCTTGAATCATTCCCGAAACCATCACATTTTAAAAATCGATATTACTAATGTCACTACAATCACCTAAGCTATCATCATCATCAGTGTCCATTTTATCATCAAATTCATCATCATGATCGATGGTTAGTTGAAAGCTTCGAAGGGAAGTCATAAAAAGATACTGTATATTTTTTTTATTCGGATTTTTTACTGCTCAATAATAATTAAGATTAAAGAGATTCTGCAATATTTTGTGCTTCGCTAAGCCAATAATTTGCTACCTAATTTTTTTTTATTTTAATTTCAAGTTTGTAAAACATAGTTTGCTAGATTTGCATTTACCACCCAAATTGGTGTAAACGGGTCATGTATTTACGTGGCTGGAGCCGGGATGAAAGCTGAGCCAATTAAAACATGAAATACTAAAAGTACTAGTTTAATAATTTTTATCATTAGTAAATTGAAAAATAACTTATGCCAATTGATAATCGACAAAAATTGAAAAAATGACGCGAACATCTATCTATATTGTCTTGTACATGATTTTTTTGAGCAAAAAAAAATATTAGTTTCGCTCGCAGAGATCTAAATCATTGATAAAATCAAATTAACTATCATTATTTTAATATAAATTAAGATCGAATGATTATATAACATTTTGTTTAAAAAAAAAAAAAACTTACAAAACAGTATGATGAATTGATGGAACTTTGAAAGCTCATCTGGTAATGCAAACTTTATACTGTATTCCCGTATTGCATGTATTGCACTTCGGCAACCTGATGTGGGATATAACAGTAAGAGTGATTTCTGTGGTTGGCTGTGATTAAAAGAAATTCTGTGGTTTTCTGTGAATCACAGAAAATAATCGTCCCTGCTCCATTTCTAATTTTTTTCGATTTGCTTATGAATAAAGTCCTTCGGCCTTACCAATAGAGTTATGTGAAAGTTTGGATTCTTAAGTACATTCGAACATTCGCCATAAATTTCCAATAATCGATCGAAAGACTCTACATAATATTTCTTTTTATAGCACATCTTGAATGTGTGCTGGTTATTATCGAGTAATTAGCCACAGTGATCAACACCATTTAAATTCTATCAGATAAACCTCCATTTACTTATTGTACGTACGTACGTACGCACACACGTACGCACACACAACTATAAATTAAGTATGTACGATACAAAATCAGGTACGTACGTACGTGCGTACCAAGATTAGACTTACAAAAAGTTATGGCAAACATACCAGAAGAATGGCTTGAAAAAGCTATTTCCGAAGGGCATATTAATTATATTGAATATAATAAATTTACAGACCCTAGTGTGATCGGCATTGGAGGTTTTGGAAAAATTCTTAAATATGAGTGGAGAGACAGTGAATTAACAGTTGCTCTTAAATGCCTTAAAGTTGTTGCAAGCATAAATGAAGAGACTATTAAAGATTTTATTAATGAGGTATTATTTGTTATATTAAAACTTTAATGGCATCCTACTTCAGAATAATTCATATAATTAGCTCAAACTATTACGAAGAGTTTCTAACCATCCAAACGTTATTTCATTCTATGGAGTGACGAAAGGTAAACAAGCAATATATAATTTTTGAAGTTATCAAATAATAATATCCCAAATGAACAAATATATATATAATATCTAGCAACGGATACTATAATATGGTTTTACAATACGCTGACGACGGAACATTACGAGAATACTTAAGGATAAATTTTACAACATTACATTGGATAGATAAACTACGAATTGCTAAGGAAATATCATTTGGGCTTTTATTTTTACATGACAATAATATTATTCATAGAGATCTGGTAAGTATAATTCTATTGAATTTATATTTATTAATTTACTAATACGTACTTTAATTTAGCATTCGAAAAATATCTTAATTCACCAAAGACAACCAAAGATTACGGATTTTGGACTATCAAAGCAGATGAATGAAACGTCTCTGACTTCAAACTCAACCGTTCATGGAATGCCGGCATATATCGAGCCTAAATGCTTTATTGATCCCAAATATAAACGTGATAATAAATCTGATGTCTATAGCTTTGGATTAATCCTCTGGGAAATTTCAAGCGGCAGACCTCCATTTCAAAATTTTGAATCAGGATATTCACTTGTTATTCACATATTCCAAGGGAATAGAGAAAAACCTATAGAAGGTACACCATCTCAGTATATCGAACTTTACGAAAAATGTTGGGACAACGATCCTGCCAATCGCCCAGAAACAAGAGTAATTCTCAATGCTTTGAAACAACTTATTCCTAATGAAACTTTGAATCAGCACGATTTTATCGATACATCAGCTCAAAATAATGTATCTGATATTTCAGTGCAGGACAGCAGTATCCTTGAAAATTTGAGAAAAGAAGCACAAGAATTTTTTGAGCAAGGCAAATTTCTCAAAGCATTAGAGCTTTTTGAGAAAATTCTTCGAAACAGCCGGCATAGTCCTGAAGATCAAGAAAGTGCTTCAACCTGGAATCTATCTCACAAGTTTGAACTCGAAAACTTTGACGAGTTAACAATGGCACTTCGCAAGAGCACCACGTTGACTTCACTGGATCTTAGTTCAAATGAACTTGGGCCATTAGGAGGAAAAACTTTAGCAGATATACTTTGCAAGAACACTATCTTGACTTTTTTGAATCTCGATAGTAGTAATCTTGGACCATTTGGAGGAAAAGCATTAGCAGATGCTCTTTGTAAAAACTCCACGCTGACTTATTTGAATCTTCAAAAGAATAACGTTGGATCAAAAGGAGGAAAAGCATTTGCAGATGCACTTTGCAATAACATCGCGCTGATTTCTTTGAACCTCAACTTTAATGAACTTGGATTTGAAGGAGGTGAAGCATTAGCAGATGCACTTTATAAGAACACCAAACTGAAGGATTTAAATCTTACTGATAATGATCTTGGATCAGGAGGAGGAAAAGCGTTGGCAAATGCGCTTTGTAAAAACACCACGTTAACTTCTTTGAATCTTGGTTGGAATAATCTCGGGTCAGATGTAGGAAAAGCATTAGCAGATACGCTTTGCAAGAACTCCACGCTGAAAATTTTGAATCTTCGTTATAATAATTTTGAATTAGAAGTAGGAAAAGCATTAACAGATGCACTTTGCAAGAACTCCACACTGACTTCTTTAAATCTTCAAGAGAATAATCTTGGATCAAAAGGAGGAGAGGCATTAGCAAGTGCTCTTTGCAAGAACTCCACGCTGACTTCCTTAAATCTCGACTCGAATAATCTTGGATCAAAAGGAGGAATAGCATTAGCAGATGCACTTCGCAAGAACTCCACGCTGACTTCTTTGAATCTTCGATCTAATAATCTTGGATTAAACGGAGGATACGCATTAATAGAAGCACTTTGCAAGAACATCACGCTAAAAAATTTAAATCTTCGAGACAATAACCTTAAAGGAGGAGAAGCATTAGTAGATTCACTTTGCAAGAACTCCACGTTGACTTCTTTGGAGCTTCGTTCTAACGGACTCGGATCAGAAGAAGGAAAAGTATTAGCAGATGCACTTTGCAAGATCACCACGCTAACTTCTTTGAATCTTTACGACAATAAACTTGGGTCAGAAGGAGGAAAAGCATTAGCAGATGCACTTTGCAGGAATTCTACGCTGAAAGATTTAAATCTTGACTCGAATGAACTTGGACCAGAAGGAGGAAAAGCATTGGCAGATGCACTTTGCAAGAACTCTACGCTGAAAAATTTGAATCTTGACTCGAATGAACTTGGGCCAGAAGGAGGAAAAGCATTGGCAGATGCACTTTGCAAGAACTCTACGCTGAAAGATTTGAATATTGACTCGAATGAACTTGGGTCAGAAGGAGGAAAAGCATTAGCATATGCACTTTGTAAAAACTCTACGTTGATTTCTTTGAATCTTGGTTGGAATAATCTCGGGTCAGATGTAGGAAAAGCATTAGCAGATACGCTTTGCAAGAACTTTATGCTGAAAGATTTGAATCTTTATTGGAATGAACTTGGATTAGAAGGAGGAAAAGCATTAGCAGATGCGCTTTGCAAGAACTCCACGCTAACTTCTTTGGATCTGGAATATAATAAGCTTGGATCAGAAGGAGGAAAAGCATTAGCAGATGCGCTTTGCAAGAACTCCACGCTAACTTCTTTGGATCTGGAATATAATAAGCTTGGATCAGAAGGAGGAAAAGCAATAGCAGACGCACTTTGCAAGAATTCCACACTAATTTCTTTGAATTTTCGATATAATAATCTTGGATCAGAAGAAGGAAAGGCATTAGCAGATGCACTTTGCAAGAACTCCACGCTGACTTCTTTATTAAAATAATTTATGCATAAATAATGTAGTCATTTAAACATTGTAAAATTGCCTAAGCTCCCAATTGATCATCACACATGTGTGTGACTTTCTAGGACTAAAACAACACCATAAAATTCAATAAACAATAATTCATCGTTGAGAAAGTTAATCTATCTAAGATATAAATCGAGAGCTTTGAAAATTTTTCTCGAAATAATATGAAAATCTTAAATTATTTTTAATAAATAATTTTTCTTATCAAGGGATAAAAATATATAGATTAAATATTGGATCTCAGTTAATGAAAATAGATCTTTTGAAGAATAAGAGTCGAGATCTAATATCAATGCCGACCCATAAATGCTCCTTAATGTAAGAAATAAAATTCTTATTTACACTAAATTATTAAGTGCTCTTCCATTAATTCTTGGCATGAGAAAAAAAGATCGGCACTGATTACAAATTGAAAAGCGGATTAACTACATTAACATTAACTCGGGTTATAACGACATCTCAATAAACTGACATTTGGCCATAACAGTATTTTTGAATGTCTCTGCTCAAACTGACATCTGGATATATTTCACTATTTATTTTTAATAAACCAAAAGCTATCGCTATTAGTGCTACTAAAAAACCAAGAAAATTACGTGAATGAACGTTTTTTTTTGTTGAATATCTGAATTTCTAGAATGTAGAATGCAGTTTAAATATCCTTTGATGTTATAGAGCTGTCAATGTAATAGTCAGATATCCAGATATCTTATTATACAGTAGCCGAGATTGACATGTATATAATTGCCTGCTCTCGTCCTTGGTTGGGCATACCATATGCTCTCTAAATTTAATAATCACACAAATTCACATTCATTTTTTTAATAAATGCCTAATAAATTATAAATATCCGAGTCCAATAGATTATTTAAATTTAACGACACTCATCGGAGCTAAATGTACCAAGCTCTCCGTTAAGGTTGTTACAGTATATAAAGGTCAAGTCCAGTCAAGCAGCTTGTAAAGTTTAACTGAATGTTAATGCGATGATATATAAATATTAACATTTTATTATATAATAAAATTATTTTAATTTACATTCCATGTTAAAGTAGGATTTACTAATGGTATGCAACTAACTTGTTTGAACAATAATGATTCTAGTTTAAACCATCTGTATTTCAACATAAGGCCATACAAATTTAATTACTTGATTTTCATAACATGAAACTTTTAAATAGACCCGGCCGGCTTTTTTTTTTAAATTCTATATAAAAATTTTTAAAACACATCGGCTATTACAGCTGTCTTCATTATTTTTGCGACATTGGAAAATTATTGTTGACCGAATCGAGAAGTTTTTTATGTCGGCCGACATCAGTAACTTATTGATTCCGACTCGGTAACTCATCAGTTCGGTCGTTAAAAAATTTTTCAGATATCAAAAAAATAATGAAACAGCTGTAAAAAATATAAAAATTTGTCAGATGTCAAAAAAATAATGAAACGGCTATAAAAAGGATAAAAATTTTTTTAGAAGTTTTCAAATTTTGACTTGCATGGCCTAATACTGTAATTAATAAACTTTTCATGATATATTTTAATTCGATTAATGTATATATTTATTTTCAATATTTAAACATCAACTCCCTTTAACTCAGTTTTTAATTTTTCAATTTCGTTACTAAAATATTTTTTTAATTCTTCAATTGTGTTTTCTTCACTCATATTGTCTTCATTTTCGGATTTTACTTTTGCAAGCTTCTTAATTGCATCAGAAAGAAATGGCATTTGATCGATATTATCCCACTTATTATTTTGCACTCTTTTGATTATACTATGAAGCTCATCAAGACTAAATTTATAAAATCTACAGATATAAAATTATGTGAATTATTAATATTAATATACGTATTTAGAAAATCAAATGTTTTTTTTCAATAAAAATAAGAGATAATAATATTGATATTTACATAATTTCAGGAAACCAATTATTTTTTCTTCTTTGAGCAGGTAACATGTAAAATAGTTCAATTTCTGATAACATCTATTTTAAATCAATAATTAAAAGATTCTTTTTTTTAAATAAAATATACAATTAATAATAATTAAATTAAAAATTATTACCTTTGCCTTTTGAAGTAAAAATAATTCATTTTTGTTTGTTTCAGGAATAGCATTACCCAATAAACCAATGAATAAATTCATTAAATAAATTGTAGTAAAAAAAGAAAAGGAAATTATCAAAATTGCCAAAGTTAAATTTTCAGTCAATGTCCAACGTGATAAATAGGTCGAATCACCTATAAATAATTAATCAGATTATTAAGTATTATTTTTGATCGCCTCTAATAAATTATATAATGTTATATGTGTAGACTATTTTCCATATGCTCTTTCTATAAGCATTTACAGAAAGTTAACTTATTCAAAATGAAATGCATGGGCAATATTCGAAATAACATGCAGATCAATTAATTTATAGACAAGTAGTATTATTTCATCTTTTACTGTAGAATAATTTTTTGAAGAAAAAAATTAAAATTACCTGCTAATGTCATATATACAGCCAAAAAAGCAGAATATAGTGTTGAAAACATGTTTGTGGACGTATTTGGAAGTTCAATTAATGTAGCATTCTCAGAGACAGTGCCATTATCTAAAACAGAATAATATTCTGTTACAAGATTCCATGGATTATTTGGATCATCTGAATAACTAGAGTTATTTATGGAAAAATTGATTGTTGGTCGAAGCAAAATATATAAGGAATGTGAAAAGGCGAATACTATAACAAATAGTATTACTAAAAATGAAAAAATCTTTTGTGCAACCCCAATAATCATTGCAAAATAACCACCAAAAGTTTTAAAAGTACGAAAAAATAATAAAAATTTAATTTCAAGAAATAATATAGAAACTGTAGCGCCCCAGAGAGGAATTTCAGAGTACTTAAACCAAACGATAGAAGTATACACAGGAAATATTACTGCTATTACATCTTTAAATATAAAAGTTATATATTTTGTTAGTTTTTTTGATAATATTTATAAATTTTAAAAAATTTTAAAATCAAAAGTAACTAAATACAATACCAAACCAGTTCCAAGGATATCTAACCCATTGTGATGGATTATAAATGAATTGACGCCATTCAAAAAAGAGATGTAATTCACCAAGAATTATTGTTGCGATTAATAAATGTTCTTGTGTTTTTTTAGATAATTTGTCTTCTATAGTAGCAACTATTAAAAAACAAAACATAAAAATTGAATAAAAAGTGTAAATAGCCATAAAATAATATTTTCCATAAGCATCCCATTTGAAATTAATAAGAGCTTGACCATTATGCCACTTGTAAAGTTCAGAATATTCGTAATTAATAAAAGGACTAGAATCAGGAATAAATGCTTCCATGAAAAAATTATAATCACTATTATAAGAACTAAATTTTGGTAATGGAAAAATTAATATAACAGACTGATTCTGATCATCAGGTTTTTTTGAGAAAATTCTTTTTAAATAAATAAAAAATAAGCTTTTTTTAAATTTGTCTTTAGCTGATTCAAAAAATGGTTTTTCTTCTAATTCCTTTTTCAGAAAATCATAAAATGTGTGAATATTGTTTCGAAAACGCGTAATAAGTTTAGTAAAAAGTGATATAACAACAGGTTGTGGATAGTTTCTATGGCTCTGAAGATGTGATTTTGAGATGTGATTTTCAATTGCAGTATTTCTATTTGTACTTAGAGGAATAAGTGAAGTGTTTGATAAAAATTGGTTTAATAAGTCAGGAAACTTTACTGACAATTCTTCAATTTTTAAGGTAACAATTGTTAGTAATCCAATATTTGATAATAAGTTGATATCTTTTCCCTCTTCTATTTTTTTCTTAATGCATTGCATATACAATTTCTCCAACAATTTCTCCGTCATCATATAATCATTATTCTTTAAAAACCTATTTAAAAGTGGTTGTCCAAACATTGATAGTGTCAACTTATCGTCAATATAATTATTTAGCAATCCTTGAAAAGGATTATTCTTCTCATCGTTAAAAATTACATTTAAATCTTTGTTTTCACGATAACGAGTAATTGTTTTAAAATCTGGCCATAGTAAGGGACGTTCTTTTATATTATCAAGTAATCTACTGATGTATTTTTTATTTGCAATAAATAGTTTATAGTGATTTTTGTCTTCTTTATCTAGTATATCTCGTTGTTTTTTCTTTATATAATCTATATATTTTTGATTAAAAGGGAATCCAGATCCTCTATAATATCGCAATTTAATTTTATCTTTTGGTTTAATTTTCAAAATTGTCAAAATTATTAAGCCGATAGATGTAATCATTGCTAAATCTCCATTATCCAATAATTCACATTTATAAACATAGTTCTGGTTTTGATCGCTTAGAAGGTCTGCATTGATTTCACATTTATCTACAGATTCCCAATCCTCCTCAGAAGGATCAAATTTCGTAGCTTTCTTGGCCTCTATTACTACAGTTAATTTGCTGACTTTGCCTTGTGCGTCAATATCTTGTGTGTCTATGATTTGTGTTACGATCCATTTTACTAATAAATTTTTAGATTCATATGTCTGTCCTTTTTCATCTATATTGCTGTCAATTTTATCATTTTCATCTATTTCCTTTAATACATTTTGCAGAAAATTTTCTATTTGAGATTTTCTAGGTAGAGCTCTTATTTCACTACGATCTCCTAATTTTTCACGTAAATATTTGATCCATTGCTGCTTAGAAATTTTTTGGACCAAAATTTTTCTATCTGATACGACATAGAGTTTTTTATGTTTTAACTTTTTAAAATCTTCAGTGCCTTCATTTGAATCGGAAAGTTCTTTAAAAAAACTTGAGGCAGTGGGTTTATAGTCTTTATAATCTTCATATTGCTCAAGGTTGTAAGGGTCTCTTATTTCTAGACCATCATTTTCAAAAAATAAAAGTAATCTTTCTCCTTCATCGAATGAAATAAATTCCAAATACAATAAATCTGACTTTTTTTCATATTTGCCTGTTTAAAATTATGCACAAATTAATATAAATATCCTTTTTTGTATGAATAAAATTTAAAGAACTTACATTGTGATAAAAGCAACGAATTTTCTGTCAAATAAACAGAAATAGTAATTTTATTTTTTCTTGAACTACTTGAAACATCCAAAAATATTGCAAGTAAAGTGTTTTCTTCATTAAAAACACTAATCATATTTGTCACATTAAAGCGTGTCAGAATTTTATTTGATCCCAATTGATATTGTTTTTCAAATAGTAACATATTTAACTTCCATTGTGTTAATGTTCCATAGGTATCAAGAAGTATAAAAGTTTTTTCATTGGTACTTGTAAAATGATTCCACACGAAATTCGTAGGTTCTATGAAAATCGAATGATTAACCTTCCAACTGTCATTGTCATTGCTTAAATTTTTAACTGAAAATTTAAGAATATTTAGGTCATTATTTCTAGGTGTAAATGCTTCTACTACAAGATCGCCATTATCATAAAATATACAATCTCCATGCCAATAATTTTCGGTTGGCTCGTCTAGAGATGACATCGTTAGTTTTATTATTCTATTCTCTGTTTTAAGATCAACAATCACTTTAAAAAGAATAAATAGTTAAAATTTATTTCCGAATATTATAAACATTTATCAATTATTTATTTGTTACTAACCAATTCTTCCGTTACCAAATTCTTCACTGTCATTGTACAAATGTATTGCAACAAGCTTATCATTCGAAACCCCAGCTAAAACTGGGCACCACCACTTAGTTGTGGAAGTTCTCAATTTTAAATCCTCACAGATCTTTTTGACATTTCTTGAACGATCAAACTCAAAAGGTTGAAGTTGATCATTTAATTTCCATCCACAAATTGATTCATCTTCTTCGCTCCATGTCGCTGCGTACGTGTAATCCGGTGACAGCAAAAGTCCTTCAATTTTCTTGCCACTGTGTGGTTTAGATGGCTCAGATTTAATTTCAACCATTGTATGTAAATTTTTATCTTCTTCGCTCATTTTGTAAAGTACCTATCTCACGCTTTAAAACTAATATATATGTAATTTAATTTATTTTTTTAATTTAACAAAATAAGATTTGAATATATATTCGGGATTTATATATTTGTTCTTAAAAAAGTTTACCAGCCATTGGGACGTGGTTAGCCTTTCAGTGTAAAAATAACAAAAGTTTTGATACACGTATTTGCAAAAATGCTTGGTTTGAGTTGGTATTTTTAAAAAATATTTCGTAAATATTATTGCTTGACATTTATTTTTGGATGTTAAACTAAACAAACAATATTTGCCTGATAATGAAAGTTGAACCTAAATTCAGACATTTCAAGATGACGATATTCGAACCTCCGACGAATATGAAAACTAGTGTCATGACATGATCAAAGCAATCAAGCACATATATAGTACTATGACTTTCGTATTTTCTAATGATAACTGTGTAGTCCATATCAGATATAATCAACATCCCCCAAGTTATGTTGCGTCATTTAGTAAATTCCTATGTCTGATGAGATGATTAGCCTGTGGGAAAGATAGGCTAGACGCGTTATCGGTACAGATCAGGAGTTTAAAAATTTTTTTCGGGGCTTAACATTGATTAATAAACCATTTGGTGAGCAAATTTTGCATTAGTGACCAATTGTCTGCTTAATTTCGCAAATGCGCCGTAATGTTCCATAGTTAAATAACATATAAATACGTAGAAAAATTGAAGAGTTGATAAAAATAAAATATAATTCGCTAGTGTTTAGTACGTTTGTACGCACGAGAGAAATTATAAAAAAATATCGCTATTATTATCTTTCGATTCTCTATCCTGTTCGCTTTAAAAAAACAATTTTAATTTTATTTGTGTAATATTATCTAACATTTTGTTAAATTTATTCCTACGATACTTGACAATGACTTTGTTTTTTCCTAGCAGTTATATTGTTTTTCCGACAATAAATCATTTCCCCCAAAATTTTTTAGTTAATTGTTCAAAAACTCCACTATTAATTCTATAATTTTCATTTTGTATTATTCAATACTATAGCTATTAGGTGAATCCATTTAACACATTTTCTTAAATGGCAAAAGACGAAGATCAATCCCTGGAGAAAAAAATTTTCTCAAAGTTTTAATATAACAAAAGGCAGATATGTTAGTAAATAAAAACCGGAATGTGGCTATGTTAAGAAATATACAGTACTATTATTACTATAAAAAAAAAAAAAACATTCAGGCTTTTAATTTACAATTACTGCATCAGCCCCTCAAAAATTTGGAAACGGTGTATATAAATTGTAATAAATGAACAATTAATGAGCATTAACAAACAGATGTTAGTGGATACTGGATGAATTATCTATAAATTTAAAAGCCTGAATTTCTGGTTTTTAATAATGCTTCAAAAATCTAATTCTATCGTTAAAGCCGTAATGCTTCATACCTGATCAAATTTTCGTTATCTTGACCAAATATAAGTAATTTATATATAGATCAAATGTAGATTTAATTATGCTAAAATAAAAGCCATTGTCGTATATAATCAGTAAAATTTAAATGTTTACATGAAATATAATAAAAATTTTTAATTTGAATTATGGGTTTGTTGGTGAAAATTTGAGTGATCTTAGATATAATTTTGGCCTGTAATTTGAGATCTTCATTATGTATCAGGATTAAAATCTAGTTTAATATGGAATCAAGATCAGGTTTTAGTTAATTATTAGAAGCTGGTTGTTTTGGTGAAAGTTGGGTGTATTTTTAGAATTAGTTCTTTAATTTATAGATAAAGTTGCTATAATTGGTTTCATTTTATTGAATACTGTTAATAAAAATTCTGATTAAACATTGTTTATTATCAACTTAATAAAATAATACATTATTATCATAAATTTTATACGTAATATCTGAATAGCATAAATATAGTAATCTTTGCCTGCATTAATCACATGACATATGAATTTTCCCAACTTTATTTCACAAGAAATCATAAATTATGATTTATATGTTTTACCTAACCTTGATTCCTACTAGCACTAATTCTAAATTGATCAAATATATGTTGTTGGAAAGTGATTTTCGAGAAAATGAAGAATACCTGTAAACTGCTACTTTAGTATATGGAAAAAACATCCTACGATAATGATTCATAACAACAATAGTAAAGGTAGCAACTTAAAAACAAAGCATTAGCTAGGTTGTTCTGGTTTTTCGTTTTCTTGTTGTTCTTTTGTTATTTTTCCAGATCCCCAATATATTTTCCAAATTAAGAAACTAATTGCACAAATTACTCCTATACCTATAACAATAGGTGCAATTGCCCATAAAGGGAATGGAGATGAAGGTGGAGATGAAGAAGATGAAGGTGGAGATGAAGAAGATGAAGGAGATATAAGAAGATCTCGAGTATCATAAACACTAATTGCCCAAAGACCTCCGCAGTTTTGGGAGCTATTTCCTGAACAACTACAACTACAATATTCCGAATTTAATCGATTAAGAGTATAGCTACTAGCGTTAGCACAAAAACATTGTGTTCCCGCTTCTAATCCTGCATTATTATAACCACTTTCTCTACATTTTTCTATACAGTAGTCAACCGTCATATTAAGCGCATCCTTCATTTGAGTACCATCATCTTTAAATGTACCCGTAAATACTCTTTCGTTACAATGAGGGTGATCTGGAATACAATAAAGATATCGAGAGTCAACATATTTACTAGGATTACGAACAATCTGAATTTTTTCATTGATATTTGATCCATTAGTATAGTTATAATGGTTGTATGGATCAGATAATATTGTTTCATAAATAATGTAAGAATTTTTTCCACCACAATTATCAGTCGTATTATAAAAATAATTAACAGCATTTGCAGGACAATTAATATTACAATTATTGTCACTAGTATATGCTGTAATATCATTTCCACATCTACATTCACTTCCGTTACTTAACGCAGCATATTTAAAAGTATAGTCCCCACAATAAGCAACACACAACTCTGGATACATTGTCAGATTTTTACCCGAAATTTTTAAGTCCCAACCATTATAATAAGGATCGAGGCCTGCTAATTCAAGTCCATTTAACGTATCATTTGAACCTGGTTTTAAAGCATAACAACCTGGTTTTTGACTTGGGCCCAGCTCTGCTAGTAGACAACTGCTGGTGCAATTATATCCATCAACGGTACATTGATCTCTGGTAATTAAACTTTCACTTACTTTCCAATATTTGTTGTCTGATCGCCTTTGTTTATTTGTCATGTTTTTTTTTTATTTTTATTTAACTTTCACAATTTCCACAATCTCCCACTATCAAAAATTTATCCTTTGAGTATTATTGCCCAACTAGATGCGATTGTTTTTTTTCAGGTAAAATATGGAAACATGTGAGTATTCAAATAGAAATTAGAATAGAGATGTGATCCCGTATCAGCCACTTTTACTGTTGATTTTATAATAAATTAATATAAAGTTGTAAACAACTATCCGGATACTCGAATATTCATTTAATTTTAAATAAAAGGATAACAGAATCATATCTTTAAATTGAAAAATTCGATAATTATATGTTTTTTAAAATAATCGGAAAAATGTTTTTTTGCCACACAAATAAAGTTCTTGGGATTAGGAGCTTCATTAAATTGAGGTTACTTTATATTTCGAGATAATGAAATGCTGGATGTAGAAGGTGTCACTATTTGAAAATTGTAACTTATATAAATTTTGTGTATTTATTGCGGAAGAAACTCCTAATTTATTATCTAATTTATTATCTAATTGTACACAGTTATCTCATCGAATTAAACTTTAAGAGAAGGTGAAACGTTACCAGCACCCTGGTTCAATCTGTATACATTGCGTCTCTCTAGTTACCCCTTATTCGATTTGTAAAGTAGATAATATTGGTAGAATTTTTGTAATAAAGACAAACTATGAATTTTATTGCACTCTCACCAGCGGGGTTAAAAAAAATTTTTTTATTGCACGTATTAACATATATTCGTTTTTGGAAATTTGCATTACCTAATCTAATATGTTTGAGGGTAGCAATGAAGTGTGAATAGTCGGGTTAAAAAATTTTATTTCTTAATGTTATATAATATAGTAATTTTTAAGCTATAGAATTTAGAAGATTACTTCTGTCAATAAATATTAATGGGTTTTTATCAGTATGTCTTTAGTAATTGTAAACTGAATTAATAAGATTACGGGCTATAGCTAAACTAACATGCATATGTCATTTTCTAATTCAGTAATATCAAGGTGGTGTCATCCGTTGCGTGAATGTCTAGTGATTGAATCAAAGCACAAAATTCTATTGTAAAATACCGGAGGTTCCGGTTAATTAAGAAATTTCGACAGAATTTCTTAGCAATCGGAAAACTTCCGTTATTTATCATTAGAGTATACGATAATCATAAAGGCTGCATATCCAAATTCCGTTAGTAGAAACACGTCATGTCACGATTTTGTGCACTGGATTAACCGATGAGTTTGAGCATTGTTTGGTCATTTACTCTAAAATTTTGAGCATCGATGAAAAATTTTGCTGAATTATTCGAATGTTTATCGAATTTTTTAAAAAATTTTTGGCGTAATATAAATCACTAATATATAACCCTAAATATCAGAAAAGATAGATTTTTCATGCTGTGTTTTATAAATATCACTCATAATAGTTCCTGTGTCTGAAAATAAACGTTCACTTGGAATGCTTGTTCTAAAGTAACTGAAATTTTCGTTAATTTGAATTTTTTGTTATTTACTTTCGTAGATTTACTCAAACATTTTTAAATTTTTTCATGCAAACGTAATGTGCAAAATAAATCAATAACAATTATTTAAATTTTATGAACTTTCGGAATAGATACAGTTTACTAGCTCTTAAGACCCGGTCGGTGACCGGGTTTGAGTTCCTAATTTTTTGCTAATTCTTAGGTCTTAACATTATTA